TTTTTTTTGTTGTTGTTGTTTAGTAGGCCCAGGCTGGGTTGGAACCTGGCAGTCCCGGAACCTGGCAGTCCCAGTGTAGGTGACTGATGCCCTAACCACTGAGCTATGGGTTCTGAGTCAGGTTTTAGCTGTCTGAGGCTTGCTAAGACATTCATGTTTTTGGATTCCAAACTTCTGTTGTTTGTTTCTGATCATTGTCTTTGGGAATTATATGTTGAAAAAAATCCTCTTAAGTTATTTTAGTAAGATTTAAGGAGGGAGGAAAGATAAAAGAATATTTTTGACATCTACAATGTTTTTGTTACTTGATTTTGAGCAATCCTTAACTCCTCTCAACCTCACTATCTCATAAAATTGGAATAAAATTTGTCTACTTTGCAAAGATATTAAGAAACTAAAAACTGAAATAATACTAGGATCAGCACTACAAAATGTTACCAAAGTACAGAATCATTTTATCCTGATGCAGCATTTCCTACTTTGTTGCCATTATTTTTATACGTACTGACTTAAAAAAACCAGCCTTTCCTACACTACATATTAGAATTTTAAGAAATCTTACCAAAAGGGTCCACAGGTAATTGGCTCTAAATAAACGTGCTGCATAAACAATCTTCTATCTTTCATTGTACCTAGAAGAAAATTATTTTGTTATATTAATAAAAACCTAATGTTATTATCTATTTATTACATGTTACTATAAATATTTACATACAAAAATATGAGTCAGTGATAGACTTTAAAATTTTCAATGCATATAAAGGATGCTCAGTAAATGATTCACAAATTTAAAATGACTATACTAAATAACTCACAGTACAAACATATAAAAAAATTCAGTATAAATTTAGTTGATGTTAAAAATCATAATTCAAAGGTTTTAGCTAATTGTCAATCAAATTAAAAATGTCTTATGAAGGTTTAGAAGCTAATCTTTATATATTACTCATTTTCAGTAAATAATTTATACTTATTAAATCTCAATAAGTCCATTAAGTAGGAAACTGGTTGAATTAAACTAGGATACTTTGACACAGCAACAAAATCAACTACTATGTAACCATAAAAAGAATGAGGATGATCTCTGCACACTCATTAAGTAAATTCTTAATAACAAGCAGCAAATTCGGTGAAAATGGCATCTATACCATTATCTTTTTAGTAAGAAGGACAATACATCATATACACATATTTGCTTTTTTTTGAGATAGAGCATCAAGCTGTCACCCTGGGTAGAGTGCCGTGGCATCACAACTCAAAGCAACCTCCAACTCCTAAGCTCCTAGTAGCCAGGATTACAGGCACCTGCCACAATGCCCAGCTATATTTTGGTTGCAACAAGCATTGTTGTTTGGCAGGCCCAGGCTGGATTCAAACCAGCCAGCTCAGGTGTATGTGGCTGGTGCCTTTGCCAGTTGAGCCACAGGCACCAAGCCATATTTGCTTATTTTTATAAGAAGAAGTCCAGAAAACAAACCAAAAACTATATACCATTACTTAGAGTTGTCAAGAGTGAGCAAGTGGTAGGAAAGGTAGTGAATAGTCTGGAGGACATAGGAACAGAATCAAAACCTCTCTGTGGGGCATGGGGGTGGGGGGTGAAGGCAAGATGGCCAACTGGAGCCAGCTTTCCACAGAGTCTCCCGTTCAGAAGGAGAGTTAAAGGACAGAAGTTTAGCAAGTAAGCTGATGGTTTGGAGGTGAGCCCAAGAGAGAAGATTGAAGAATGCAACCTTCCTGAGGCAAGCTGCGACCCCAAGGATACAAACAATAGGTACAAAATCCATCACCAAGCAGACGGAAGTCCCCTCCCCCATAAGAATGGCTCGCAGTATACTTTCTACAAACAAGCGAGCACAGTTCAAACATCCTCCCATTTTATCCCATGGAAGAGACCCTCTAAAAACCAGACCTCCTTCCCCTACTAGGGTGCCGTGGCACTCTACTGCCAGGCATAAAACTGTATATATTCTCTACCTATAATTCTGAATTCTCAGCACTCCTCTCCTCTCACCCTGAGGTCTGGAAGCCTATCCCCCATGGAGTCCAGATACTTAGGCATTTTCTCGAGAGGTGTGGACAGGGCATGGGCTGTTGCAGGTCTGTGTTGATTCTGTGGCACAGGGATAAGAAGGAGACAGTGGACTGAAGGAACCATATGGGAAAGGGAAAGGCGGTGCCTCCCAGCACAGAGCAGCAGCAGCGGGAACAATAGAGCTCACATCCCTAGGAATATTTTGGAAGGACACTCTCTGTCTCTCTGGGTAACCAGAGAAAGCCCGCATCTTGTCCGGTGGCAGACACGGGCAGAATAGATCTGGGATGGTAACACAGGCCCCATGAGCAAAGGGTATGCCTGAGGTGGTACTGGCCTGGCTGGTGTGTCGCCAGAACGAAGAATTGAAGACACATGCGCAGAGACAGGATACTCTCAGGGCAGGGCTGAGCCAGAGGACTGCTTTAGTGAGCCTAAGAAACACCCGGCCCTCAGGAGATTATAGCTGAGACAAAGGCCAGTGGCCCAAGCTGGAACTCCAAGTGGAGTGTGAGCGCTAACTGCACCCACCCCAACAAGACTATAGGGGAAACAGAAACACCAGTTCCAGGCAGCTGCACAGACTGGGGCTGAGTCGCAGTTTCTGTGAACTCAAACAGCTCCTGGTCCACAGGAGAAAGTCGCCAGGATAGAATCACAAATTCTGTGCAAATATAAGTGTCACCAACATCAGGGGCAGGGCTGGAAATGAGTGAACCACCCCAGTTTTCATTAACCACCTGAGGTTGTCAGGCCTCAACTTCCCCTGCTGGATGGTGGCAGAGTGTGGAGGCCTGGCCAAGAAGACGTAAGATCTCTCTGTGACTCAGGTAGGCTCAACCCCCTGGGGCATCTGCTCATTGGAGGGAACTGGGTCAAAGCCCTGTGGGGTTACCAGTGACTGGGCGGGAGAGAAGTGCAAGGTGGGGAAGGAGGCATCAACCTTCCCAGACTAATTCATTTACTGGGGGGGTGAGGGGGAGGTCCTTCTGACTCAATGGAGTATCAGAATGAGGCATTCATGAGCTGCCAGCAGACCCCTGCTAACTAGTTGCCAGAGACCTTTTGAACTCCCTCACTTGAGACCAGGTGCTGACTGGGACAATTGATTTGGTTCTCTCAGACTGGCCCAATCACTTAAGGACTATCCAAAGTGGTATCCTGGTTGTGTGGTTATGGGAAGGTTTGATTTTCCTTTTCTAGTTGTTGCCTGTGGGGGGTGGGGTGACTTAATTGCTGGCATTTCTCCACAGCTGAGACTTCAACCCAGAGTAACTAATTCACTAGGGTAGGACAGAGACCAGCTGAAAACAAGACAGAGCCACTTAGTCCCACCACACCAAGTAAGTCTCCAGTGTCTCAGGCCATAGCACTGCACAGGTCCTTTGCAAAGCTCTAAGGGAAAAGGTACAGACACCAGTCACAGCTCTTGGGCAAAGGACTGGCTAATCACTACTCTAGGAGTCCCCCAACACAACTTCACCTTATCTGGTCATCTAGCCAAACAGTGTAAAATAATCATGGGGTGGAATCAGCAGAAAAACTCCAGTAACATAAATAACCAGAGTAGATCAACTCCCCCAAGGAACAATATGGCAGACACAACTGAAAATCCAATTCATAGACAAATGGCTGAGATGTCATGAATCGAATTCAGAGTTTGGATTGCAAATAAGATTAATAGAATGGAGGTAAAGTCAGAAATAGAAATTCAAGGAGTAATTCAAAAGTTGTCTCAAGAATTCAAAGACAAAATCACCAAAGATTTTGACACACCGAGACAAGAATTTTCAGCCCTCAAAGATCTGAGAAATACAGTAGAATCCATCAGTAATAGAATGGAGCAAGCAGAAGAAGGGATTTCTGACATTGAAGACAAAGCTTTTGAACACTCCCAAGTGTTCAAAGAGGAAGAGAAATGGAGACCAAAAACGGATCATTCTCTCAGAGAGCTCTGGGATAATTCGAAGAAAATAATATTCGCCTTATAGGAATTCCTGAAGGCAATAAAATTACTTCACAAAGCACAGAGGCCCTTTTTCATGAGATTATGAAGGAGAACTTTCCAGACATGCCAAGAGATTCTGAAATGCAGACAGCAGATAGTTTCAGAACCCCAGCATGACTCAACCCAAATAAGACAACACCTAGACACATCATAATCAACTTCACTAAAGTTAATATTAAGGAGAAAATTCTGAAAGCAGCCAGATGTAAGAAAACCATAACCTACAAGGGGAAGAATATTAGAATGACTGCAGATCTCTCTGCTGAAACCTTTCAAGCTAGAAGAGAGCGGTCATTGACTTTTAATCTCCTAAAACAAAATAACTTTCAACCCAGGATCCTATATCCAGCAAACTGAGTTTCATTTATGATAGAGAAATTAATTACTTTAATGACATTCACATGTTGAAGAAATTTGTCATAACTACTGTGTTTTCCCCCAAATAAGACCTACTCCCCAAATAAGCCCTAGCAGGATTTCTATGCATTTGTTAAATATAAGCCCTTCCCCATAATAAGACCTAGTGACGGGTGTGGCTATGCAGCATATATTTTGGTATGGAGTAGTAAGGAAGACTGGAATGCCTTTTATCTGCCACAGCTCCTTTCTCCAAGCCGTTCGCACTTGTGCAAGTGCGCTGTGGTAACCACAGTCTCATGTGCAAATGGCTAGGGGAAAGGAGTTCACACATCACTAGCACCAGGCCCACCAACAAGGTCGGTTCCCCCTGACAGGTTCCAGAAGGAGAGGGCTTAATTGTATTTGAATAAATGTAGAATGTTGTATAATACTTAATAAAAATAAGACATCCTGGATGGCACTTGTGGCTCAAAGAAGCAGGGCAAATATTTTATGAGAAGGATCCCCTGGGCAATTGACACAACATCAAAAATACACTACTGGGACCTGATCAAACTAAAAAGCTTCTGCCTAGCCAAGGTCACAGTAAGTAGAGCAAGCAGACAGCCCTCAGAATGGAGAAGATATTTGCTGGTTATGTCTCCAAAAAAGGTTTAATAAACAGAATCCACAGAGAACGCAAACATATTAGCAAGGAAAGAACAAGTGATCTGATCTCAGGGTGGGCAAGGGACTTGAAGAGAAACTTCTCTGAAGAAGACAGGCGCACAGCCTACAGACACATGTTCATCATCCTTTAATCATCCTTAATCATCAGAGAAATGTAAATCAAAACTACTTTGATATATCATCTAACTCCAGTAAGAGTAGCCCACATCATAAAATCCCAAAACTAGAGATGCTGGCGTAGATGTGGAGAAAAGGGAACACTTCTCCATTGCTGGTGGGAATGCAAACTAATATGTTGCTTTTGGAAAGATTTTTGGAGGACACTTAGAGATCTAAAAATAGACCTGCCATTCAATCCTACAATTCCTCTACTAGGTATATATCCAGAAGACCAAAAATCACATTATAACAAAGATATTTGTACCAGAATGTTTATTGCAGCCCAATTCATAATTGCTAAGTCAATTTGGAAAGAAGCCCAAATGCCCATTGACCCATGAATAGATTAATAAATTGTGGTATATGTACACCACAGAATATTATGCAGCCTTAAAGAAAGA